AAATCCATCTTGTAAAAATTTTCGTCCAAGTAATTCCTGAGACTGCCATTTTCTTGAAACTCAAAAACCATCATATAAAATAATGACTCTGGCTGTTGCGTAAGCCCATAACATCTAATAATATTACCGACCCACAGAATAGAATGTTTCTCAATCTAAATTTAAAATAAAATATATTAATAATAAAACTATAGTTAAACGAGGTTTTAATATTCTTTACCTCATTTATAAGATCTTCAACTGAGCTAAGCTTATCTAAGCTTTTTAATGCTACTTTCACTCCAGACCGCCTATACCATTTCTTATTGAGAACATCCCAACTCTCAAAACGACCATCTTCCCATGTCGCAGAATACACAGTGCCATATCCTCCTTTAGCAATATATTTGACATCTTGAAATTGTGTATACGGTATCCATTCTAAAACATCCAAATTATATTCAGCTTGAAGCTGAGACTTTTGTATAAATTTGTCAATTTTTTTATCTCCACTTGTCCATTTATCAAAATTTTGTCGAAAGTGAATCCTATTACATGACATGCACCAGTTAAATGAGGAAAATTTTTGATTACATTCGGGACAAAGAAACATATTTGATCTCTTTAAACTTGAATTTTCCTACTACAGTACTATAAGTACTTTTATGCATTTCAAACCGTTACACGGGCACAAAATAAGATTTGCGTATACGTACGTATATTTTGGGTTATTTTCTTAATTTATCTAAATTATTTGTCCATGGATACCGTAAGTATTTTATTTACCATTGAGCAAATTTTATTTATGTAATTGAACTATTGAATAAAATTTATTTTCCAAAGCAAAGCGTAGGACTTAAAGGGAGATAACGAACAGAAATATGACCATTTATGCACTTTTTACGTCCAATGATTTTTATATAAAAACCATAAAATTTAAGTTATTTAAATACATAGGTTTGTAAAAAATAAATGAATGATATTATATATTTTTTAAATTTTAATATTTTTAATCATATAGTTAATTTGAAATTACTGTAATTATGCATATTGATAAAAATATTAGATAAAAATAAGATTTAAAATAAATTTAAAATAAATTTTGTTAAAACAATAAGTTTAAAAATTTTGACCAAAACAATAAGATACACGGTATATAATATATAAAAAAGAATAATTTAAAAAATTGAATTTCGGTTTAACATGATGCTTCGGACCTAACGGTTCCCGTTCCTAGTTTTGGCAAAACTATACTAAAATTCGATAACTTGTTTTGCTTAAAAGTAATTTTTTATTCATACAAGAAAATAATTTATTTTTCTTTATATACAGTATATACACTTTATTTTTTTTTTTATAGTAGAGACGCACGAGTAATTCTTTATTTGATTTGTTTAGTATACTCATTATTATCTGTATTTACTTCCATTTTATCTTAAATTTTAATTTTAATTTAATCTTTATACAGTATATTAAAATTTGTAAAAAATTGCTTTTGATGAGGTCTTTTAATCTTTTTTTTTTTTTAAACGAAAAAAAAAAATTGGAATTACCGCATGATCAAATAGTAATATACTGTAGGTACATAATATTTAGGTTAAATCTGTAAGAGTTTTTACATATCGGTACTAGTAGAAAATTTTATTAATTAAATTGAGTAATTTGAATGTTGACAAAAATTTCGATAATTTAAATTAATATAGTGATCTTTGTGCACACGACGACCAATTTTAAATTGAATTGATTTTTTTTTTAAAAAAATACTGTATAACGTTCCCAATTTTAATTTTATTACGTGTTTGATTTTTTTTTTTCTTGATAATTTATAACGAAGCGTTGCTTGTTTAGCACGCATGAGATCTAATTTTATTTTATTTTTTTTAAAGAATAAAGTAATAAATAACTCGACCGAAAAACCGGTGTAACTTCATGTGAATAAATGAAAACTAAAGTTTTTTTTTAAAAAAATTATTTTACAAGATTATCAAATTTTTAAATGCATTATTTTTTACAGCGTAATCTACTCAATACGCTCTTCAATGCGCGTGGCTCATAATACGTTCATCATTTTGAGTACGTTTCTATGCATCTATGTGAGAATTTTCCTGTAGCTCATCTACATCATCTACACCGGAGCTTTCAACTGATTCCACTATTTTTGTTTTCGAGGGAAACTCTTCTTCAATATCAAGCATGAAGCTTTCACCTTGTATCCTTAATGATAATCTCTCCAACTCTCTTAATTGTTCTTCTGGTAGCTTAGTGTCCTCCAATTCACTCTCCATCTCCTCAGCTTCTTTTTCCTGTAGCTCATCTACATCATCTACACCGGAACTTTCAACTGATTCCGCTATTTTTTTTTTCGAGGGTAACTCTTCTTCAATATCAAGGACGAACCTTTCACTTTGTATCCTTAATGATAATCTCTCCAACTCTCTTAATTGTTCTTCTGGTAGTTTAATGGCCTCCAACTCCCTCTCCGTTTCCTCAGCTTCCATTTCCTGTTGTTCTATCTCTTGTAATTGTTGTTGTAATAACTCATTTTTTTTAATCTCTTGTTGCCTTAAATCATCATCTATTAACAATTCGTTTATCAATTGCAATCCCTCATATAACTTTACTTGTGCTACATAGTCCTCATTTTCAAGGTCTTCGGGATACGCAATAGAACGAACTTCTTCATGTTCGAACAGAGTGCTTCTTGACATTGACTGATTAAAATTTGGAAAACTGCAACTTGCCACTTCAGCAGTACTAGTATTCAAATCAATGCGATAGTGAGTATCTTGCGAGTTGTGCTCATCACTTTCTGGATTTATGTTATTGTCACCAATGCGTATATTATTGTTTCTGTCATCCACTTCCTTATCTTCATTGCTTCTTTCGTTGTGTTGCCTGTTTTCGTCGGTTCCCTTTGCATTTCTTCCACCGGAATTCATGGAATTCTCACTATTATTTTCTATGGATGAGTCAGGAAAATGTATGCTAAAACTGTCCACGCCTCCAATTCCGCTACTCCGTATGCCACTATGATATGAGTTATACACTTCTCTGTTCTTCGATGTTGACAAGTAAGCACCATTGAAATCACTGAAGAAGTTAGAGTGAAGTTCATCGAGAGCGTTATACTCGTATCCGCCACCACTGGTGTATCCAGAACTATATATACCAATGCTGCTGTATCTCAACGTGTCATTATTAAATTCATCTTTATCATGTACATTTTCGTTACTTCCACCATCAAACACGTTACCCTGACCTGTCTCATTCGTATCATATTCCTTTGTGGAATTTATGCTATGAAAGCTCGGAGGTGGCGGAAGCAGCACAGATAGTGATTCTGAGGTATTGGTCAAAAATGATCTTGTTCTCTCGTCATTCGCACTCGTGCGTCTAACATTGCCCGTAGCGCTGTTATTGTTATCACCTGGAACGATAGAAAATTGCATGTCTCCATTGTTCGTCGAAGAATGAGGTCGAATAGAAAAACGCATACTGTTCGCCAGACTTTCGCTAAAACTTATTCTAAGCGCCGACAAATGTTTGGCCACAAAATTTTTGCCAAAGTTCCATCGGGTAAACGTATCACTGGAGCCGTTACCCGCAAGACCGCTGTTATCACTAGCGGCGCCACCAGTCATGGGAATCTGGGCGTCGGATGTTTTTTTCCTCGCTTTAGAGCCAGTGCAGAATTTCTCCAGGAAACGCGAGGCGGCCGGTTTCTCCGAACGGTTTGTATAAATCGTGGTTCCGTCGGTTCCATTAATGTCGTTAACATTGTTATCGTTACATCCTTTTCCGGAACCAAAGAATCTCCTGGATGCACCATTTTTTCGAATCCTCAAAGCCGCAAACAATATGAAGAACGCGATCAATACGCTTCCTATGATCAGCAACGCAGTTTCCACGCCGTTCATCGGACGATTCTTGCCGGCGATATCAGTTGCTACCACAGGAAACACCTTATCATTAAGTCGTGCACAAATGAATGTTGAAGTGGTCATGTTTTTGTTGGCGGTTACTAATGTCTCCGTGGCGGTGACAGAGGAACCTAGATCTGACCGATTCACACACCGTTGTGTGTTGCATTGATTCGCACTTACACAGACGTCACCCAATCCAAGCTTCACCTTGCATGTTCCTTGAAATGATTGTGTTTGATTCATCCCAACAAGGGTGTTTCCAGTGTCACAGAAGAAACCTTCGTTACAATCTCCTAGAAAATCAAATGGGTCGGTCCATATGCCTGAAACATTTTTGTTCTCTTTGCCATAAGTAGTAACGGACAGCAGGTCGATCAAATTCTGGCGATCGATGTCGTCGACAGGTGGAACGAACGTATTGCACTGTTCATCAAGACTTTTGAGATCGGAGTTGATAAAATTGAGCCCGGTATTATCGATGTGCCATCCTACAGTTGACGGAGTGTCGCATGTGAACCCAGAGGCGTTGACAAAACAAAAAGGTTTTTCGGCGTCAGCGTCGCAGGAACATTGAGATTTACCGCAACGGATGGGGCAGGGATTTCCCGTGAAAGATGGGATCGGAGTGTTGGTAACGACGAAGGTAGCGGTGATGGTGGCTGTGGCGAAGGTTTTAAATGGGCTACTGATTGGTGGTGTGAAGGAGGAATTGGTGTTTTTGCCTAGTAGCACCGTTGATGTGGTGAACACGGTGAACGTGCTGCACATGGTCGTTTTATCTTTTGTTGTTCGAGAAATTACATGTTCCTTCGAATTACGACGAAGCAATTTATCACTAATTTTAACATCGTTGTCTTCCTGATCGTTTTTTTTAAAGAAATGTCCATTATCTATTGCAACATTAGATTTTGCATCCATTTCTACACTAACATCCATGTCCATTATTAGCTTTCCGCCACCGAACCACGGAACAAACCTCACGAGACCAGCTCGAGTTTTCGCATGAGAAGTCAACTGCTTGCTCAACTCTACCACTCTCGTCATCAACAGCATGATGCAAAATAGGAGTATTATAATGGTTGATATCCATTTCATAATCAATATGGTAAATTTTTTGAGCGGGTGGTGAGAAAAAGGGAAGATTGTCTCGTCGAAGGAAATTGTTTTAACTTATTGATTGTCGTCGTTGTTGGTGGAGGCTTAGAGAGAATATTGAGAGATGTTACCATACATCTATGCTTTCGTGCTGTAACGCCGTGAGAGAATGGTTCTGATATTGTTTCGTTGGTGATATCAAAACATCGAATTTCACTTTAAATTCTCTCGCTAAATCAAAAAGACAATATTTTCCTTGGCGTTCATGAAACTATGGGGGGGAATAAATAGTTATCGATTAGAAAATGAATGAATGAATGACAGAATAAAGATTTGTTCCAAGATGCAGTGGAAAAATTGTACACACGCTGGAAATATCAAAAAAACTAGTTTTTTGTAAAAGGAGAATAGAAAAGGAGGGAAAAAATATAGTATAGATAAGTAGATAAATAAATAAATAAGTAAAAAAACAAAATTATTAATATTAATAAAAAAAAAGCAAGAAATGAAAGGGAAAAAGGAAGAAGAGTGGAAAGCAGGTTTGAGATGTCGGGATTTTTCGAGACTGGAATATGCTTATTTCGGGTTAATAGTGATCTTGATGAATTTTGAATTAGGACACTATACATATGGATGCGTATGTTGCAGAACACTTCAAACAATAATGTAATCGAGATTTCAGCTATATTGTACGCTTTCAATATTTGACTTTCCGAATGTCAACTAGTGTCAGGTGAAATGAGACGGCGAGAATGTAGATGATACCTTTTAAAAGGAATAAAAACGATGTCAGAAAGGCAAGATCCAGCGCGAGAGACGAATGATGTGGAGAATAGAACTTGATTAGGAAGATTGGGATACAATTTGGTTAGTCGAATTACCCGTAACCTGTAACGGTGGTTATATAATAGGAGGTTAATTAAAATTTTCCAGATAGGGAGTCACACGAACAGGTTATATCTGTAAAGTCGATGATCTACCGACGTTCGCAGTACACATAATTCTAAAAAAAAAAGTAAGAAAGAGATAGGATGACTAAAATAATCGCAAGGGGATGAGGGAATGAGGCGAAGGGCATAATTAGTAAGATTATTTTGTCCAATAATTTGACGGGTAAATCTAATACCGTTGCTGAACTTATTAACGGATTTTGCGAATCGGGTCTAGTGTAAGATTAGAGATGGGTGTACACATGCTGTATTTATGAGCAGTTTGAGAGGTAGAACATTCCTTGCTTGGGATTTACCCACAACTATAGCGAAAACGAATTGAACGCATAACCGTATGCGTAACTGCAAGTCGTTCTTCAGATTTCTAAAACGGCATCTACCACCATACTAGATGAGAGAAGTAGGAGGGCGTGTAAGAATTGTTTGTTAAGTAGAGATGTGCTAACGTGTGCAAATGAATTTTCGGATATGGCGAAAAGGGTAAGAAAAAAGCCAAAAAGATTTACGTCGCGTCAGTGCGTTTGATTTATTCAGGAAAGAATGATATAATAATTATTATTGGTAATAATCATAATAGCGCCAAATAAGAGATTTTTTTTTAGAGCAGAAAATTCAAAAGGGGATGTATTCTTGCTGAGATATTAACTTTATTTGATCGTAATTGAACTCTTTTTAATGTATGATATTGAATTGTTATGTTGCGTCCCGAATCCTGGAACATGATAACAATGCGCCACCCGATTAAACACGAAAGCATTGTACCATGAAATTTCTACCACTAGAAACAATAACAGTATGACTATGGATAAGACACGATACCGTTATCGCTATATGAAATGCTCGGTGACCAAATTAGGAAACTAGGTGGACGTGATCGGCCCAGGCAAACGACGTTCCCAAATGTTTTTTATAAGAGGAAATTTCCAATTTCTTCATAAAACGCTGAACATGCGATCCTTCTTTTCTCTTTCTCGTGAAACGCGAAGCGGTTGGTTTACGTGTGCATGATCGATCCAAGTTGTATAACACGCATATATAGCATATATAGCATATATAGTGCATTCCGGATCATAGCCATGCACAAAAAAATACAAGGCACGTCATATAAAATAATTGCTGATAGGGTTATGTAATTTACATTTTAATTAATACTATTTGCGGCTTTTAGTGCCTTTCTAGTCATTTCATTTCTCGTTAATCGGAATCCACATAAAAAGTGCATAAGATTCGCGAACTGATGAATTGGAGAAGAAATCCATCGGATGATTCGCGGTGCATAATTTCGTGACGGAGAAACTTTCTTCCGGTCATGAAGATTTTCTCCTATGTTGTAAGAAAAAAGAAAAAAGACGAGGAAAAAGACTTGAAATTGTGTCAATCTTCATACCATCCATTTTCTAGATCTCCGTTCCATGTTTACAATTGGACAATCGGATTTTTTAATCTGCCTTACCATATTTGGTACCATTATACTGTAATCTGGAATGTGCCGTTTACCAAGAGTTAAACAATACGATGAGGTCAAGTAGAAATCATCGATCTTACGATGAAACGCGCATGCATGCTATGCTAACAAATTGAAGTGCGATTAGGTACGTATTTGAAAATATTTGACGCAGAGGGAACTATGTGCGTGCGTGTTCTGAATGTTTAATTAATAAACAGTGCATTGCATCCTCGTGACAGGTCCAAAGTTAATTTTGCTATTTTTTTTTTTCGATCCATCCACATTGAGAAAATGACAAGGTTATATTAAAATTGTTTTCACACGCGAGCAAACTGACTGACGTTCCCGTGTGATGTAAGCGAATGCATGCATGCATGTAAGCGTGAGAAAAAAAAAGGCACGGTAAAACGCTCTAATCTATTAAAAATGAAGTTGGCAATCATTTGTTTAATAAAAAAAAAATACCATTTAAATAGTTTCGATATTTTCCTAAAAATAAACTTGAGCCTTTTTAATTAGGTGCAGAATCTTGAATTCCAAGTGATCGGCGTTCGACAAATGGATTTTAAATGACAGTCTATGTTATTACGCAGTGCCATCTTATAGGTAGAAGGTAGACCAAGGCTTGCTTGATAATATAACTTCATTTAGATAACATATCAGTGGTGAATGTTTCTATGCATAATATTTGATTGGATGCAATGGCGTGGCAACAATAATGAGAATGTGTAAATTACGAATTACTCTTTAATGAAACAGGCAGATGAAACATGTTTATTGAAAGCGTTTTCAAGGTAAGGTCACGCATTCAAACACAGTCATTAAGCGTGAAAATTAATTCGAGTGACTAAATCTTTCTTTTTTCTGATCACCAAAAATCAATAAACCGACGTTATTTCGTTATGAATAAGTTAACGGGGGAATGGTTTATTCGAATATGATAAGAAGATTCGATTTAAGAAGAAAGAATGATAATCTCGTCTCCAGATGAAACATCATAATACGAAAGTTGTCTCAAATCATCATTTATCTCCACTTTTGACATTTCCTTGTTATCACTTCCATGCTGATTGTTAGTAGTGCAAAAGAAAGAAATCAATTGATGCAATTAGGTTGTAAAAAGGATAGGTTGTTCAAAAACAAACACCTGACGATTGCTAATCCCGTATAGGTTTTGCCGAGATGCCGGTATTCCAAACAATTTTTGGAGCAAATTCTTTAAATTTCTGATTTCCATGGTGCCTAAGTTCTTATAAATTAATAAATCTCTAAAAAAAAACAAGATGCATTCATACAAGGATTAACTACCTAAAAGTTTCTTTGAAACTTTTTTTATCGGTTCTCCTTCGAGCGATGGACGATAGGTAATGGTTAAAGCTACAATACACCACGTGAATATGCGAATGCTCTTATGACAAAGAAAGGAATCGAATATCTTTAGTTTTTTTAATTTCCAATATATACCCAGCAAACGGTCCTTCAAAATATTGCTGGTGGCGATCACCGAAATTTCGTCAGCCACAGGTGTCCCGTGGATTTCACACAATTCTTTAAATCTGGGATGTTGTTCCGCTATCTCTTCAGGCGTTTTCTTTGTATCTTTTATGCATAATTTAAGGTAAAACCTTTCTGCATCGGTTCTATTTTCCGGAGATATCTAAAAGAGGAGATTGAATCACCTTACTGCTTCTAAAGATACAAAGCCTAGAACAGAAAATGATTTCTTACTGTACTCCCGTTCAACATTTTCAACCTCTTAATCCTGCCAACTATTGATAAACTGGTTTCATCGAGCTTTTCACCTTAAACGAATAAGAAAACATGAGCCCACGATAATAAAATTTAATTGAGAGAATAATAATGCGCGAATACCCTCAAGGAATGGATTTTTTTTTATTCGCAACTCTTGTAACGAGGGGAATTTATTCAACTCATCGACACTTTTCCAATTGTCAATTTTGTTTTCATTCATGTTAATATACCTCAGTTTTGGAAATCCTTCTTTAGGATGGAAGATCCGGTCAATGAAATTGTTGTTGAGAAAAAGGATTTCCAAACTATTAATAATTAAAGTATAAATTCAAATTAGAAACAAATAATTAAATAAAGGAAAAAACCAAATTGATATGCCTTTGACCTTGGAAGATCTGAAAATCGGGCAACCTCATCCCACGTGCGTATATCGTTGGATTCGAGATTGATGATCTTCAGCTTTGCGAATCCGCTAATCTTTTTTATTGTCTGATTTTCTTTGTCACCATCGTCCACAGTTCTCAATTTAATATCATTGAATCCTAACTGCAGGTTTTCTATATTCGGAAGGCATGGTTCAAGCAATTCTATCTGGAAAGTACCTTGGTCTTAATTACTTGAATCCTGAACAATATTGTTCGTTTTTTTTTTTTTCAAAATTACAAACCTGATCCCACGTTATTCGAGTATAATTAAGGGATAGGTTCTTTAGGTTTAGGAATGCATCGCTGGCATTCGGTGTACTTGTCAAAACCTGAAACCGATTGTAACTTTAATATGTGCATTTTTTTGCATATCAGGACAAGGAATGTTATTATTCTCAAATAAAAAGATTGGTCCTATATAAGTATAAACACTCTGATACTTACTTCAAACGCAAGATCTCCAATTTCTTTAGCTGTTTGCATATAGATATAACTGTTTCCCAATCGGGTAACAAATTCTTTGACAGGTTCAGATCAATGATGTCTGCAAAAAAAAAAAAAAAATCGAAACATATAAATAAATGATACATACAATGTAAATCTTCGATTAACCTACTTGGACATAGTGCTTCGATTTCGCCGGGGTTTCCTGCGCTGGATACTCGTTCGAAAGAAAGTCCTACTTCGTGTAGGCGGTCCAATTGCCTATTAAGATAAGGTCAATTTCCGACAAGAAGACAAATATTGTACGCTGATATGATCGTGAAAAACATACCGCAACTTACGACGGACCTTTTCCCAGCCCAATGCTTCAACCTCAATCTTCGTGTTTCCTGCCCAGTAAATTGTGTCCAAATCTTTTTGTGCGTCATATGCTTCTCCCTCATTGTTAATCTTCTGATAAGGATCCTCAATATACCTTTCCACAATAGCCGAGACAAAACTTCGGCCTGTATCGATCTTCGGCGAAAAGCGGATAAAGGAACCAGAATTAGGAACACTGCATTCGTTATGCGTAAACAAACAAACAAGCAATGACAAATATTCCAAATTTATGTTCCGTTGCTCTGAAATTTAGTGGAATGCGGAAAAGCAATAAGAAATGAGCGCAAAAAACTAACCTACAAGTGAAGTATCGGACTTGATCGTGAACACCATCGTGTTTCCCCCTTGAAGCATTATCCCATTCTACGCCAATCCATTCTCCCCTCGGCGGGACAGGTCCAACATAACGAACTGTTGCAAATTGATCTTCAATTAGGATACGTTTTTTTAGGAGATCTTGAGGGATAGACATCTGTAACTATAAGTAACTAAAGCGTCAAACCGTTTTCTGGGGTCCCTTATATACGCGCCCCAAAATCCAAATCTGACCGTCGATCTCGATAACTCTGATACGTTATACGTCAACTTTCGAAAAAAAATGGGTAAAAAGACTGTCACCTTTGCGGACGACAAAACTTCCGAAAATGTCGAGAAATCTTATGAGCAGGCAAAGAGAACTACCGCTACCGAAAAGCGCATAACGGATCCGATAAAAAATGTTGAGGTATGCGAATTCCCTCAAGACTTGTTATTGACCTTGCGCTTAAAATAATTTATATCACTTTTTTTATTTCAGGATAAATGGCAGCTCTTGCCAGCCTTCCTGAAAGTTAAGGGTCTGGTGAAGCAACATATTGATTCCTTTAATTACTTTATCGAAACCGAATTAAAGAAAATAATTCGAGCAAACGATATGATTACTTCCGACGTTGATCCCTCCTTTTGGCTAAAGTAATTCTGCTAACTATAAACCTTTCATTTTCCCTTTATTTACGTTATCTACGTCACACTTATTCACCTCTCTTTCTTCAACAGATATCTCGACATTAAAGTTGGCCCTCCTGAACGACCCGATAACGATCATGAAGCGCATCAAAGCGTGTTTACTCCTCACGAGTGTCGTCTACGCGATTTAACGTATTCCGGAAATATTTATGTGGATGTGGAATACGTTCGCGGTAAAACGAGGGTTATTCGCAAAGATACAATCATCGGAAAGTTGCCCATCATGCTTCGAAGTTCAAAATGCGTATTATCGGGTAAATCGGAATCAGAGCTGGCAAAAATGTTTGAGTGTCCCTTAGATCCAGGTGACTGAAATTTTCATATGCACGGATCTTTTTCTCGCAGATTTCGTTCGTAGAAGATAGAATGATTAACCAGTTTTTACGTGTCATTTTTAATATCCTAAGGTGGTTATTTTATAATCAAGGGAACGGAAAAGGTCATACTTATTCAGGAGCAACTCTCAAAGAATCGAATTATTGTCGAAGGCGACAAAAAAGGTCTCGTTCAAGCTTACGTGACAAGGTATGTAGATTTTATCATATTTGGCATATTGGCTAGAGGGTTCATTGAAATTATGTTGTTCTCCAGTTCGACCCACGAAAGGAAGAGTAAGACGTATATAGTCGCAAAGAATGACGCGAAGAATGATAAAATAATGTTGAAGCATAACTCAATTTCAGAGGAAATTCCAATCGTCATAGTGATGAAGGTATTTTGTCATTATGTGTGATATGTAGATGGTTTTCTTTGTTCTCCTATTTACTTCACGTTCGTCAATGCAGGCCATGGGGATACAATCTGACAAAGAGATAGCGCAGTTAATTTCCGGGGGAAATCAGACATTCTTAAATATGTTCTCACCGAATATTGAACATGCAGCAAAAATTAAGATATTCACCCAAAAGCAAGCCTTGGACTATATAGGAAGTAAAGTCAAGGTAACGCGAAAAATAGCAAATGTTCGTAGACCCATGGCTGAAGAAGCATTAGAGATTCTTGCGACCGTTGTGCTTGCTCATGTTCCCGTGGTAGATTTAAATTTTCAACCAAAGGTTATTTACATCGCTATCATGATTCGACGCGTTTTAATGGCCTTGGCAAACGAGAATCTGGTGGACGATCGTGATTATGTCGGAAACAAACGATTAGAGCTGTAAGCACCTGGATCTTCCTTATCTTTAACATGATCGACCTTAATTTAACGTTTAATCAAAAAAAATTTTTTTTTTCAGTGCCGGTTCGCTACTATCTCTTTTGTTCGAAGATTTGTTTAAGAAATTTAATTTTGATCTCAAACTGAATATCGACAAATTGTTGAAGAAACCTAATCGAGCATCAGAGTTTGATGCACATAAGCAATTAATGCAACACGGCGATTGCATCACAAACGGTTTTGTTCGTGCAATTGCTACTGGCAACTGGTCATTAAAACGATTTAAAATGGAGAGAGCTGGGATTACCCACGTTCTCAGCAGGTTGAGTTATATATCAGCGTTGGGAACCATGACCAGGATAACCTCGCAGTATGAGAAAACAAGAAAAATCAGTGGTCCCCGAGCTCTCCAAGTTAGTATGAGTTCGTCAATCTGAGGGCTTCAAATACTGCAGAACAAATTCTATTCTGATAACTTTTTCTTCGACTACAGTAAATCTGAATCTGACATATTTTATTCAAAATTAGCCGTCACAATGGGGTATGTTATGTCCCGCTGACACCCCTGAAGGGGAAGCTTGTGGGTTGGTCAAAAATCTCGCTCTTATGACACATATAACAACCGACGATGAAGAAGAACCCCTTAGGAGGCTCGCATTTAATCTAGGTGTCGAAGGTGACATATTAATCCTATCTCATTTTCGTTCGTCAACTTTAATTAAGTTATCATTATCCTTTTCCAACTTCAGATGTCAGTAGTCTGACAGGCAGTGAGCTCTATCAACCAAATTCTTACATGGTCTTCCTGAATGGCCTTATGCTTGGTATTACGCAACAACCCACGGGATTTGTCAAGGACTTTCGGAGCTTACGCCGTTGCGGCCGAATATCTGAATTTGTCAGCATCTATGTTAATCATCATCACATGGCCGTTCATATTGCCTCTGATGGTGGACGTGTTTGTCGTCCCCTGATAATAGTAGAGTCCCAAATACCAAAAGTGACATCTGAGCACATTAAGGTTGATAATTTATTTCCATTTATTACGCGCCTAATAATTATCTCCTGATAAATGCACTCTTAATTATTTTCTTGGCATAGAAATTAAAACAAGATCAAATGAAATTTACCGATTTTTTAGCGCAAGGCCTCGTCGAGTATTTGGATGTAAATGAGGAAAATGATTCGAATATTGCTATATATGAACGCGAAATTGTTCCCCAAACCACTCACCTCGAAATTGAACCTTTTACGATTTTGGGTGCAGTGGCAGGACTGATCCCATACCCACATCACAATCAAAGTCCTAGAAACACGTAGGATGTTCTTTACTAAAATCACATGACGTAATCGAGATAATGTAATTTAATTTAACGCTACACTAGGTATCAATGTGCTATGGGTAAACAAGCCATCGGCGCTATCGCGTATAATCAACTTCGAAGAATTGATACCCTGCTATATCTCATGGTTTATCCCCAGCAACCGATGGTCAAGACGAAAACCATCGAATTAGTTGGATATGATAGGGTCCGTTGTGTGATTCGAATGTACTTTTTTTGGGAGAAATTGCAATTTTAACAGATATTGTGAAACATAAACTTTGTTATTAGCTTCCGGCAGGGCAAAACGCCATTGTTGCGGTTATGAGCTATTCCGGGTACGATATTGAGGATGCTTTAGTCCTCAATAAGGTTAGTAACAGGATGTTATCTTGAAATAACTTAATTCTGAGACTTAATGATCTTATCGACTTCTCGCAAGGCATCGGTTGATCGTGGATTTGGTCGTTGCCAAGTAATGAGGAAACACGTTGCTTTAATGAAAAGATATTCAAACGGTTCTTTTGATAGGATAGGAGATCCTCCCGTGGCTACAGAATTACAGACAGGTCCTTCAGCTGAAAGATTCAGTATATTAGAAAAGGATGGAATTGCTGGAGTCGGAGAAAGAGTGAGTCCTGGGCAAGTTATTGTCAACAGGCATACGCCAACAAATCTTAACGCGAACATTCCTATCAATATGCCTATCGCAAACGCTCCAACGATTCAATTCACATGGAAACATGCGCCCTTATCTTATAAATCACCCGAACCTGGTTATATAGACAAGGTTTGCTATTGCATTTGATATCCATTACACTCCCGCCAGATTTTCCTAACGACGCATTATGGCTATTCGCTAGGTTTGTATAACTACTACAGAGCAAGAGCAGACTCTTATAAAGGTTCTAATAAGACAAACACGCATACCCGAACTGGGCGACAAATTTTCGTCGCGCCATGGCCAAAAAGGTGTGTGTGGTATCATTGTACCGCAAGAAGACATGCCTTTTGCGGATACCGGAATTTGCCCTGATATTATAATGAACCCTCATGGTTTTCCATCACGTATGACGGTTGGTAAAATGATAGAATTGTTGGCCGGTAAGGCTGGTGTATTAAAAGGAGAATTGCAATACGGGACCGCGTTTGGTGGTAGCAAAGTGGAAGATATGAGTAAAATATTAATCGAGTGTGGGTACAACTATTCTGGAAAGGATTATGTGACTTCAGGTAACTACGATCTATGTTCTTTTTTATAGATTCTCGAAAACTAAGTCAATTGTTAAATTTAATAGGGATAACTGGTGAACCTTTATCAGCGTACATTTTCTTTGGTCCAGTGTATTATCAGAAATTAAAACATATGGTCGTGGACAAGATGCATGCTCGTGCCCGGTAAGAAGCTATTTTATAATTATGATCAACATTTCAAATAAAATCACGAGATTTACAATCATTATATGCAGTGGACCACGTGCCGTTCTAACTCGTCAACCCACTGAAGGTCGATCGAGAGACGGTGGTCTTAGATTGGGTGAAATGGAACGTGATTGTCTTGTTGGTTATGGTGCTAGCATGTTGCTCATGGAACGCTTAATGATTTCTTCGGATCAATTTGACGTTCACGTTTGCGAAAAATGCGGACTATTGGGTTATCGAGGATGGTGTCAGCATTGTAAATCGAGTAAATTTATGGTGACGATGCAAATGCCGTATGCTGCGAAACTACTTTTTCAAGAACTTCAAAGCATGAACATTGTCCCCAAACTAATTTTGGAAGAGTTTTAGATTAATGATTCTTCTAATTGAAACTAGTTATTATTAAGCAGCTTCAGATATTTCAAAGATTATAAATTCACTGAATTTAAACTGTAGAAATTGGCGCTAACTTCAGAGTCTTTATGGAACTTCCCTATATTACTCGAGTTTATCTTAATTTACATATTTATATTTGAATATAAATTTATATTATTCATAATATGACCATAAATATCTAAAATAGTAACTTATTTGTGAAAATACAGTATATGAAGTATATGTAAAATACAATCAAATTTAATTTTAATAATAGAAAAAAATTTTTTTTTTTGCTTTTTTTAAATAAAATAAATATTTTATATATTTTATCAAATAAATTTATTATTTGAATTTATTTATTTTTTATTAGATAAACGGTTATGCTTGAACTTTATTTACTAAATAATAATAGTTAGTAAAGCCAGCAGTGACATTTTTTATATAATAGATTGTTTTGGGTTTTTGGCACAATGTTGACAAACAATTTTATTAAAAACAAATATTAATGTATTTCATGCTAACTCTTTAAGCACTCGATCACTTTTGGAAATTTAAGTGAGAAAGGGAATATAAAAGGAAATAATTTATTCTCGGTTCCTAATAAAGAGACCTAAGAAACATGAAACGCGCAAAACGGGCTATTTCGTTTTGTGAAATAGTTTTTGGTAAGTACATATGGTGGTTTTTTTGATTTTATATATTATCTCAAACAACGGATGCATGCTTCTTACCAATATGCCTTCTCAATCATCAACAAGTGAGGCATGAGGCAGATAATAGCATGTTCTTTGTCGTAACATTCAAGTTAATCACTTTAAATGGATGCCAAGAACTTGCTAATGATCTAGGATTGATTCTAACACAGCCTCCTTATCACAAATTTGTTATTGAAACGAGTCTATGCTAATTTTACTAGTAATGATATGAGAATGATATTCAAGACTTTAAATCCAAGAACGTGCGAAGCACAGTCGATTTTTTTTTAAAAAAAAAATTCTTTGCTTCTCTACAGAAGTATAAAAATCGCATGGTCTCAAATTCGGATTGAAAAAGAATGTCACACCAAAGGGAGAAATTAGAAATTATAGTTCACCCGCCAAGTCCAAGTCTAACCTCCAACACCAGCGAATCTGATCCAGAAATTTCACCTTCGTCACCTCCAAATGGTGATTTCTTCTTACGAAGACATAGTGAAAGAGATGTGACAGTTACAACAGATAATTCGACGCAAACTGCTCAAGTCAAGAAAAAGAACGATTGTTGTTCGAGAACTTGCCATAAAATCAAAAGGGTTAATGAGATTCTGACGTGGGTGAGGTTAATAGTTGCACTTACACTTTATTTGCTAATTGCCGTGGATGTCATTCATATTAGAAAGAATAAGGACAAAAAATTTTGGGTTGAAGTTTTAACCCAGGTAAATATTTGGTTATATCTCTAATGTCCGTATCTCTTTCTGTGTTTTGGGAGATTGCTCTTTGTTTCTTTTATAATGTCTGTATCTCACCATTATCCTCGTTTCATACGCTTTTAAAAAAGTTGACCAATATCGAATTCACATTCCTAACATTACTCATGCAACCGAAACGACTAATAAATCTCCCACGAGCAGCGAGAATATGGTGGTGGAATACAAAGAACACTACTTTTTTCAACAAAGTAAAATTTCGTAGATCTGCCATCTCTCAGGATATTCAAGTTGACTTAGAAGGAAATAATTACAGCAATTATTTACAAGAATCAAAAAAACCACCCGACTATATAAGAGAATTGCAAAGAAAAGTTCATGAAAGTTATAATTGGTACAATTATGAAGATTCCTTGTCGGAGGAAAGTGAGAAGATGGAACAAAGAAAAGAAATTATTTGTTCACCTTCAAAGCTATTTTTTATTCTTATTTTATGGAACATTGGTTGTTTGTCGCAGTATGGAATTTGCGGTAAGTTGACATCCCGAGCCGCCATTTGTTAAGATCATTTAAAATAATTGTACCTAAACTTTCTCATCATTACAGTAATCCTATGGTTTCTACCGCAAAAACAGCGACCCGAACTGCCGTATATAATACTAAGTGCGATCACAGTGTTTTGTGAAGTGATTACTTTCATTCTGGTATTTTATCAGAAGAAACGGAATGCAATTTTAGACTATAAAGATAATTTATTAAAACGTTTTCCAGCTAAATCGAATAAAATATGACAAATGGGTTATTGGTTGATCAAAAACTTTGGATAGATTTAGGAAAGTCAAAGAGGACTTGTATACTAACGAGGCTAGAACTTGGTGTCAAATTCTTGATTCTGTTTACCCTTGAAATTGAATCCAATATGAATAAATAAAGTTAGTCTTTACTATGCATATCGTATCCCATATAGGTTCA